GTGTTTGTTTGTGTGTGTGTTGACACGTGCATATGTGCATGTACGCGTGCGGGCATGCGCGTGTGTGTGAGTGGATGCGTGTGTTCTCGAGAAAGGAGAAGCCAGGCTCCCCTTGCCGTGCCGGCCGCACGCCCCTCTGGGGCCCCACCCTGGCAGGCATGGACTCGGTGGTGTCCCAGCTGGAGACTGGTGACGTCATCGTGACAGCGGAGGTCGTGGAGGGCGCAGACAAGCTCATCCGGCCCAATAACGGCGGCGACGGCGTCGGCAGTGCACAAGCGGCGGCGGCGGTAGCTGCCGGGGGGGCGCCGTAATGACTCGAGAGCGAGCAGGAGGCAGGGAACAGCGGGCCAATTTTGAAGACAGGGCTGGCCAGAGCTTGAGTGATCTGTTGGTAAAGACAGCGTGGTATTGAGCTGCTTATTTGTCGTCCTTTTGTGCTGGCACGGCCCCTTGCCTTTCCTGAGCGTGCCTTGAACAAAGTTATTGAGTGGCACCGTCACCTGTTTCAAGCCCGTTCTGGTTCTGTAAGCTGCGAGGTGATGCGCCACGATTTTTAAGGGGACCATTCCGGCTGAAGTTGCAGGCCCAGGGTTCCTTTGAACCCAATGCGCTGCAACCTGTTGTGATCTGCCCCCAGGTGCCGCTGCCCCCTCAGTGCCTGGACACGAATCAGGCTCAGCGGTCGTCTGCAACACGTGCCTCCTTACAGCAAACGCACCCAGAAAGAACGATGGCAGGTTGGAAGTGTGGAAAAATGTGGCATATCCAGGCTACAGATGCAGTTGGGCCGACCCTCCTGGGCTGCTACACTCGTTTGGGGGGACCGCAACGCAATCATTTGGGAAATGGTGGTGGGGGTGAGGTTGGGAAGGACAAAAAGGAAGGCCTCGCGCCCACTGACACAGTAGTTTCGGAAGTGAACGCTCTTGGCTCTCGCGCCATGCACCCTGGAGGCATTGCGTGGCGGCTGGCCGGCCTGCCAGCTGGCCAGCCGGCGGGCTTCCCGGCCGGTCTGGGTGGTGGCGCGTGCAGGAGCGCATCCCGACAAGCCAGGGCTGCCGGTGTGACCGCGCCGCGCGAGGTACGTTCATGTCGTGGTGGCCGTGTGCACATGTGCGTGGGTGTGATGTTATGTTGAATGCATGCTGTGCGTGCTGTGCGGTCAGCAGGGGCCAGCGCAGACACGAGGCGGCCGGCACGGCCGCCCCGCGCCCGGGTGTCAAGGGTGCAGGCGGCCCGCCAGGGCGCGCAGCGGCAAGCCTGGCATGGCCCCGACGGGC